TTCTGTAGTTATACTGTACCGCACGCACGAGTGCGGGCGGGCTTGCCTATATCGCCCCAGTCCAGGGCGCCTTACTGGCCGAGCGAGTCGGCAACCCGCCCGCACGAGTGCGTGCGGTACAACATTACTACAGATGTGCGCGGGGTTAATCAGCTACCTGGTATTTCAACTTGTTCCAATTTATTTTCGAAAAAAAAAATATTTTTTTTTAATTCCTAAGGCCGTCCCTACGAACGACGTGGTTTTATAACGCCCCCGCCCGCTCGCCTCACCCGAGTAGAGCAGCGTGTGCGAGTGGCCGCCCACGATCAGGTCGACGTGCTTGCTGTTCCTCGCGACGCGCAGGTCGCCGGCGAGGCCGTCGTGCGACACGCACACGATGATGTCCACGCCGGAGGCCTTGAGCCGCTCCGCCTCGCGGTCCACGGCCTCCACCTCGCCCGTCCAGCGCACTCCCCCAGTGTCCGAGATGTCGTGCGTGTTGTTGAGCATGTAGCCGACGACGCCGATGCGCCGGCCGCCGCGCGTCACCACGATGGAGGGCTTGACGAGGTCAGCGAGCTGCGGGTCGGCCGAGGCGTTGATGTTGGCGGCCAGCGCCGGGAAGGACAGCCGGCGCAGGAACTCCTTGACGTTGTGCACGCCCTGGTCGAACTCGTGGTTACCCAGGGCCTGTGCGGCGAGAGATGTCGGGTCACTATCAATTCAAACGCAATATTTTTTCCCCTTGAATTCTCCTCATTTTTTCAGGAAAAATTTTCTTTCGATTTCCCCTTGAATTTTCCTTGATTTCAAGGACTTAAGTGGTGGGACTCACCATGGCGTCGAAGCGCAGCCTGTTGAGGAAGAAGGACATGATGGCGTGTCGGTGGACGAAGTAGTACAGCGAGCCCTGCAGAGGCGAGACGGGGCCCAGTTCTCATTGCTACTATGATGATGCCGTGAAACAGGTAACCCCGCGATGGCGTCTAATGACTGTCTCACCTGGAAGTTGTCTCCCGCGTTGAGCACGAGCGAGTCCGGGTGCTGCCTTCGCAGCCGGTCCATCGCGGTGGCCACCCTGGCGATGCCGCCCACGCAGTTGGTCCCCCGGCACGGGTACGGCACGCACGTGTTCACCTACGCCAAAAAATACATATTGGAAATCGCATGTTCATTTATCGAAATCGATCGACCTCCAGGCAGTCCAGCGAGTGCCGGCTGGCCTATGACGATACCCTCCAGCGGGGATATTTTTCTTTCGATTTTCCCTTGAATTTTCCTTGATTTCAAGGCCGGCGGCGGGAGAGGATTAGACCGACCGTTCGCCTCTTCTGTTCAAAAAGAGTTCCGTTCAAGAAAACGTTCATTATTTATTACTGTAACGTCTTCGCCATAAAAGAAAACAACGTTTTATTTTAAGATGCTGTTGCGTTGGTGGGATGCCAGGTGAATCACAAGTACCCGACTTTGAATAGAGCCAGCTCTATTACTCACGCTCACGCATGTCGACGATGAAAGAGGAGAGTAGTGCAAGCACACGATACACCGCTGGAGGGCTTCGGTGAGAGGACCGTCGTCGGGGAGCGTCCTAGTCACGGTAATCGTAGTCCTAGCCGAGGGCCGAAGTGACCGACTGACCGCGCCTAGGCTCGGTCGAGGGAGGGCCGGCCGGGGCGGCGCCTGGCACTTGGCCCGTAGTTGATTATGCGTGAGGAAGGTCGCTATTGTAGGTTGGCCTCGGAAGTATAGTGTTTATTTCATTTAAATGAAATTCAATTGAACCTAATTTGGTGGCTTCCTGTTCTAGTCACGGCTCACGAGGGGACTCATACAAGCGTAAATTCCCGAGTCGGTTGAAACTTTGGGGTTCCCGACGGTTCCCCGAGGGGTGTGGAACTGAACACAAAAAGTGTACATCGACAAAAACATTCAGAAATAATCATGACACATTAGGATAAATATTGTGACAAATTTTCAAAATATGTCACAATATTTATGGTACAATCTGAAACAATCAGAAAATCATACATAATCTGACACAATGATTGTCTACACCCCAGGTAGAACACAATCGTCAAAAACGTTGACCGTATACAAAACGATTGCTGACAAAAATTCGTGCCGATTTGATATTTTGGTTATAGGGGGGAGTCCAATTTCTCAAAAACGTTAACACCTCGTGTCAACTGCGAAACGAACCCATGAATAAGAAACGTAAATTAAACATCCTAATGTGAATAAGAGTAATAAACATTTTCATGTGAAGAATTCAGGTGCCAATTCGTATGGAAATGTTAATCGTCTTTTGGTCCTTTTTGCACATCCATCAGCCCTTGTTGCGTAATGACACCTGCCGCACGAAATGGTATGCAAACCCGCAACACTGATAACAGGGGTGTTCACTCTGACCCTCTGGTACCTGGATTTAAGGTGGGAATGGGAAAATACCCCGGGGGGCGGTTCCCAAATTGGCGTGCCATGTTCAAGAACTAACTCTGTTGTCGTACAGCTAATTTACGCGGAGGCGTCCTATTTAAGAGACGCGAGCCCATAGACCTCAGGACTAGACAGCCTTGGCCTTGGCGGTTACTGTTATACACAATACCAGACCGATAATTCCGCTGTCCGTGCAGCTCACTCGAGTGCTCGCCTCGCTGCCCCTGAAGATGATCGTCGTCGTCTTGCTGCTGGTGGCCGTCGTACTCACGGTTTCCGCCCTCCTGGTCCGCTACTGGGGCGCGCTGTCCGAGTTCAGGCGCGTCCGCCGCATGACGGCCAAGCTGCCCGGCCCGCCCATGTACCCCGTGATCGGCAACGCGCTCGAGGGGGTCTTCGGCGAGGACGACTTGTACGGCCACCTGCAGTCGATCATGTCCACGTACGGGCCCCTGACCTGCCTGGCGATAGCGCACCTCACCTTCGTCTTCGTCATGGACCCCGACGACATGGAGGCCGTCATGACCAGCCCCAAGACGTCGCACAAGTCGGTGGTGTACGGCGCCGGGGAGCAGCTCCTGGGCCGCGGGCTTGTCGTCGTCAACGGGGTCGAGTGGCGTCGGCACCGCAAGGCCATCACGCCCAGCCTGCACAGCGACATCCTCCGCGACTTTGTGCCGCTCTTCTCCAAGCAGGGCGTGGCCTTCGCCGACACGCTGGCCGAGCTCGCCGACGAGGGAGTGGTGTTCGACGTGACGCCGCTCAGCGGAGAATGCGCTAACCGCGCCATCTGCGAGACCGTCATGGCCTCCGACACAGACGAGGACGACCCAATGATGCGCGCTTTCCTCGACGCAATCCCCAAGGCCCAGGACCACTTCATGTACCGTCTGTGGAGGCCCTGGTTCTTCAGCGATTGGGTCTACGCGCTGCATCGCTCGCGGTTCCAGGACTACCTCAAAGTCAAGGACGCCCTCGACCGATTCCCCCAAAAGATCATCCGCGAAAAGAAGAAGGCACTGCAGAAGAACGGGACCCTCCCCCAACAGAAGCGGCAGTGCTTTCTGGAGCACATGCTGGCCTCTGAAGAGGGCGCAGCTCTGAGCGACGCGGAGCTCGCCGCTGAGGTCAAGACCTTTGTTATGGCAGCCTCGGCGACCTCGATGGACGTCCTTTCCTACCTCATCTACACGCTCGCTATCCGCCAGGACATTCAGGACAAAGTTCGACAAGTAAGTTAAACACGACGAGAGCAAAAATTAGGCGTCATTCCAAATCCTCCTCCGATAGTGAAAAGAGATTTTTGCCCACGAAGTGGCAACAGCGCATGCCGAATTTTCTCTTGAAATAAATCGCATTTAGAGTAACTGACAACAAAATTACGCATTACCTCTGTCGGTACCTTGTTAAATTTGGCGGGGACAAATGACTTTCTTTTTTTGAGAAGACTCATCGATTACCCATTTTTATGAACCTATTTTTTTAAACCTAAATTAATTCCGAGATTTCCGCTGTTGTCAAGTTGTTGGCGTGATCGTCCTGGTGGCAATGTCATTTTCGCGCATCCGTGGGTTTCAAGGCAGGCTTTTCTTCGTTTCTAGGAGATCGACGACATCTTCGGCGAGGAGCGCGGGCGCCCCGTGGAGTCCTCGGACCTCGCCCACATGGAGTACACGGAGCGGGTCATCAAGGAGACGCTGCGCTACTTCAGCGTCCTGCCTCTCTTCGCGCGCACCGTCACCGAGGACTTGCCCCTGCCGTCCGGCTTCACCGTCCCGCGCGGCTGCGAGGTGGCCTTCTGGCTGCCCTCCGTGCACCGGAACCCCAAGTGGTTCCCGGAGCCGGACAAGTTCGACCCGGACCGCTTCCTCCCGGAACACTCGCGCGGCAGGCACCCCTTCGCCTTCGTGCCGTTCAGCGCCGGGCCCAGGACCTGCACCGGCCGGCGGTACGCCATGATGTTCCTCAAGACGGTGGTGGCCGCCATCGTGCCGCGGCTGCGGTTCGAGGTCCCCGACGACGGCCCCAAGCGCGTTGAGGACATACCGCTCTTGATGAACGTCTCCATATCCGTGCGGGGTGGCGTCAACATCCGTGTGCACCGGCGGTCACAGACAGACATGAGCGTAGTCCCCGCTTCAGACAAACCTCTTGGCCGGTCTCAGAAGCCACTTTGACCCTTGAGCTGGACACACTTGGATTGCCTCTGCAGGCGCGGCCGGAACACCGGTCACTGCCTCTCTGGCTAGGATGCCCCTAGAGAGCCCCTGCTGCACGTCCACCAACCTTCACGGAAAAAAAGAATCAGCTAAATAAGCTAATGCATTCGCTAATATGCCCTTAGATTAGAATATTAGCTTTCCTAGCTAATTCCCAGCTAAGAAAGCTAAAATATTAGCTTTCACAGCTAGTTGCTTTATTTTGTAGACAACCGCCATGGCTAATTTATTAGCTCTCCTAGCTAATTCTTAGCTAGGACAGCTAATATTCTGATCTAAGGCCACATTAGCGAATGCATGAGCTAATTTAGCTAATTCTTTTTTTCCGCGTTCTGCAGTCTCGCACAAGCTCTCACCGCGGCGACGCGCGGTGCCTGCAAGGTAGGCAACTCAGCCAGCTCGCGCGGGGCGCAGCAGCCTATCTCAGCCCCCGGGGGTGATCGGATAGCCTCCCGGGTTGTTCGACTTCGGTTGCTAATCCCAGCCCCAGTCCCCAAGATTTTGGTGTTTTGATTATTACCCTCTAAAATACAAAATGTGGAACTTTCGGGGGCCGTGGTACGAGAGCGACAACGGCAGAAGTCAAACAATCCGACGAGCTCTCCAATTGACCTCCCCGGAGGCACACGAATGTATTAGATCTCTCTTTTGAGAGTAGGGTACCTTTTCCCACAACATTTGTAATTATTTAGATTATATT